GGGAGTCTTTCTGCATTGCCTTAACTGTGTAACTCACAGATCACATACTTAAAGGTAGTTGCCAGACACACCCTTGGAGATGCCCTCATTTGAATAATTTCTCTGTTCTTTGAATGAGGACAAAATTTAATGACCCTTACAAAAAAAAAGAGAGGCTAAATCAGCAAGAAGATTAACCTTTGCTTGTTTTTCGTTTGTCTGTTTGCTTGTTTTAAAATCTTAGATCTCCGTTGAAAATTCGCGAGGTTGACAGGCACGGTTTAAGCAAATTTTATACGGCAGACAAATACAGAGCAATAAAACAAGGTTTGAACAGAGCAGAGGAAGGACAGGGCAGGAAACGGAGCATCACAGCACACAGCCGACTACTTCTCTCCGGCTCGGAGCTCGTTTGAAAGCAGCATGAGCTCCATCCAGAGAGCTAGGTGAGAACTGCACGAGAGGACAACTCACCTAACCTTGTTAAAAACTTTCTGTGCAAGATTGGCTTTCAGATGGTCTGGATTAAATCCATGTTTCGATCGCAGAAAGAGAGGAATGGAGGGAAGATAGAATGAATTTATTAGATGTTATCTTGTTACATTGTTTTGTTACAGAGGGAAAGTCAAACCTTCACTCCAAAGTACACAAGGGCTAAAACGCCAATTCTCGGAGATCTAAACTGCAAGACAGTTGTTCCCTAAATCGCATAGACTAACAGATTTGATGCTTTTGATATGGTTTGTCCTCATCAAATTAGTAGTACCCCCTCTGAGCAACTTAACAGGACAGACACAAAGAGTCACAGATGGAGAAACATTACTGTGATTAGATAGAGCTGACAGGCTGCCTAAAGCAAAATTCAAGCATCGATTCTACCAGAGGGCCTTTTGTAAGTCCTTTGGAGGTCGATGGTCCCTTTGATTGCAAAACATCAGGCTGATAGCAAGGTATACAAGTTTAGTCTCAGCCAAGCAAAAGAATGGTGGGCACCAGTCAGAAAACAGGCAGCAGAAAACATGGAAAACAGTGAGTATCCAAATCGCAGAGATTATTTGTAGCTAATTCTCTTTAAAGCCTGCCAAGCCATTTGCATTACAGTGTTGTCATCTAAAGATACGATCACCATAAGGAACAAAAGAGTTTTTCTAGGTAGGCTCTCCATGCTCACAGTCTAGACACCCAGATCTCACCTCGACCGTATTCTTCTTTCGGGAAATGAGTAAAAATTTTGTTAATGACCAAAATATGCCTGAAGTTAAATAAACTACTAATGACAAATTAAATGGAGCAGGACCAGTAAACAAAACTCACTAGGTTTCTACAGTTGCTTTCTTTCCAGAGCATTTGAAAAATTAAAGAATTCAGTGGATTAAAAATACAGAGAAAAAGCAAATTATAGGAATCAGTTATTTCCATGCAGCATACAGTTCTGCCATAGAAGTATACTCTGCATTGCTATAAGGGACAATGTGACAGCTACTGATGAAAACAAAAGCTCAAGATATTCTTTACCGAATAACTTCTTTTCTTTACTTAATTGATAAAAAGAAAATAATAGAATAGAATATAGAATATTTCAGTTGTAAGGGTCCTACAAGGATCATCTACTCCAACTGCCTGACCAATTTAGGGCTGAGCAAAAGTATGTTGTTAAGGGCATTGTCCAAACGACTTAATCACAGACAGGCTTTTCTAGGAAGCCTTTTCCAGTGTTTGAACAACTTCTCTGTAAAAAAATTATGTTTCCTAAAGTGAAGTTTGAATCTCCCCTGACACAGCTTTGAACCGTTCTCACACATCCTACTACTGGATACCAGGGAGAAGAGATCAGCACCTTCCTGTCCAGTTCCCCTTCTCAGGAGGCTGTAGAGAGCAATGAAGTTGCCTTCATCTGGAAGAAGCTACATTCAGCAATCCCACTGTACTGTCATAGCACTAGCCTGTAATTGATAGTGGTCCAGAATGTAAACCTGAGAAGACCTCCCCCAGAAAACACAACTTGCTTTTCAATTCAACAACAAACTGAGTTCCTTCCTGAGTTGTGAAATCCACAGTACTTCCTCACAGGTGTGGGGGACAAATATTGACAAAGAAATGTCACTTTTACAGATGCATATTATAAAGTAATAATAGAATCATAAGGGGTTGGGCGGGACCTGAAAGATCATCTCGTTCCAACCCCTATGCCATGGGCAGAGACACCTCCCACTAGACGAGGTTGCTCAAAGCCCCATTCAACCTGGACTTGATTTTTTTTAAAACAAACAAACGATCCCCACTTCCAAATTCCTGTTGCCTGTGCTGCTGTATCAAAGTCTAAGTATTTAAAAAGTGACAGCATAAAGTGCTGGGCTCATGGGATTATCTGGAACACAGTAACAGATTTTGAAGATTTCCCCAGTGAGTTATCTGACAATAAATGTAATGAATCTACCTCTTGAACTAAAAACATGCCCATTCAAATGTCCCGGGACAAATCCAATATCTATCATTAGCAACAAATAGCATTTAATAACCATGCACAAACTGCATGTCTGGAAATCTACTAGGATGTCTCTCTGGAGTCTTTCCTTCTAGCCATCTAGCAGTTTCTGTGACTTTGAACTTAAACTTATAAACCCTACTATGTAATTGTTGGTGCAATTTCTAAGTCATCACGTAACACTTGTGTCTTACAAGCTTGACCTTGTTCTTATATCAGTAAACTATAAAATGGTTTTTCAAGTATTTTTGATCAATTTTCAATGAGAATGGATTTAAAAAATTTGCTGTTTGTAGTACTATGTCTTATTGTATTGCTTGAATTTAGTTTGTCACGCGTTGTTCAGCGCAGACACACCCCATCAACTTTAGAAACTTAAAGGAGATGCCTAAATTGGGAGCAAGGTACAGAAAGCTTGCTCAGTGTGTCAACAGAGAGAAACAGACATCTCTATTTACGAAAGAGCTAACCTACCTTTTGAACAAAACTCTCCTTAAACTGGGAAAGAGGGACCTTTTTAGAAGGTTTCTTTTAGTTTGCAGCAATGCTTGTATTGTTTCTCTGCTGAAAGGCAGGTAGAAAATTTTGAACAAAATGGTTAAGCAGATTGTTTGCTAGAAAACTCAACATCAGATGTGCATATGCCTATAAAGTTACATATATCTGTTAAGAAAATAATTAGAAAATCTTCCTGCTCTTATTTTACATTAAATTTGTCAAATACCTAAATTAAAGATCATTATATTTCCAAGGGTATTTCTAGTGAAAATCCAAGCATAACAGCCAGTAAGAAGTAATGACTGCAGTCTATTTACCAGCAGGTTTGCAGAAAATAAATGGCATCTTACTCTTGTTCTTTTGCTATTGAGTTTATTGGTGCATTTAGACAACTCTGTTTCATTTGCACATCTGTGAAGAGCACTACTGTGTAAAAGTTAAATGGGCTGTGTATGGAATTTAAAACTTTTCAATGATAAAATATTTCAACAGCCCTTTCATCAGAATTAAAAAAAATAATAAAAATTTGAAGTCTGTATCTGCTTTTAAAACAAAACACTGCTATTTTTATTCAAGCACAGCAAGCAGGAACAGTTCAGATGCATTTGTATGTCAGTTTATTCAAAGAGGGTACTTACTAGTTCACTGATATCCCATTGCCTCAACAAACAAGGATACAGTCCTACACATTGCCTTCCACTCTTTGTTTATGCCTTTTCTGACTGCTGCTCTGGGGCAGAGCTATGAATTTGGACAAGCACCCTTGCAATGTATCACATGCTGTAAATGTGGGAGTAGAGTGAAAAGGGAGCTTTGAGTACTTCTGCCAGACTTCATCTTTACCTCCTGCATTTTACCATCACTCCATCTGAAAGTAATCAGGACCTGTAATGCCATCCTTGATCATAACACTTCATAACTGGCATGATTCTACTGGCAGATGGGTGTCAGCTGGAATGGTCAGTGCCCTCCTGGAAAATGGCTTTCAAGGTAGGCCTCCCACCATGGCACTGGACAAGATATAGGACCTGAACCATTTGCATATTCCCTTCTAGGCCGGATCCTTCATCTTCAAGCCAAATGCCCTCAACTGTCCCAGATATTTTAGACACTGTTTTCAGTTTGTAGGCTGGTGTGATCCTATGTCCTGGGTTCAGCAGTAGCAGTTATTTTTCTCCTTCTTAGTAGCTGCTGCAGTGCTGTGTTTTTGACTTTCAGCCTGGGAACAGCTCTGGTAACACCAATGTTTTTAGTTGCTGGTCAGAATGTTTACTCTGACCAAGGACTTTCTGAGTCTCATGCTCTGCCAGGGAGAAGAGGAAGCCAGGAGGAAGCAGAGACAGGACACCTGACCCAAACTTGCCAAAGAGGTATTCCATACCACAGCACGTCATGCCCACTATAGAAACTGGGGGCAGTTACCCAGAAGGGCTAGATCACTGCTTGGTCGGGCTGGGTATCGGTCGGCGGGTGGTGAGCGGTTGTATTCTCTTCCCTTGTTATTTCCCTTATCATTATTATTATTGGTGGTAGCAGCAGTGGTTTTGTGTTATACCTTAGTTACTGGACTGTTCTTATCTCAACCCATGGGAGTTATATTCTTTTCATTCTCCTCCCCATCCCTCTGGGATGGGGGGGGAGGGGGGGGGACGACACTAAGGGGGGTGTGGTACAGAGACTGCGTGGTTCTGCAGCTGGGCTTAAACCATGACATCCTAACATCCCAATCAAGATGAAGACCTTGTCAAGAAAAGCTATTGTACAGGCTAATCTGAAATAATCTGTAAGTATGGATCAGCCAGAGCTAGATGGGGAAAGGCAAGTGAGGAAGAACAAGGTAATAAAAATAACTTCAGCAGAGAAGCAGGAGCTCAGACGGCTTAACTTCTAGCTGTACAAATGTGGCACATGTTCCTTCATGAACAAAATGATGAGTAGGTAACTGGAACTGCAAGGACAGTTCATGACATTCTGTTTTCAGTCCAGTCAAACCTTCACAATAACAGGAATTTACCCATTCAACATTTATACTTGTTACCTTCTCGTAAGCTTTTCTCTTTGTTTCAGAGTCCATCCAGTCATTTTCCTTCTCCAACATGTCAATAAAAGCCCAACGAATTCCTTCAGTCAACTCCTCCATCTGAAAAATATTTAGCAAAATCCTCCCCAGTAAAATATGTCATGGCAGAATCGTTACAAGAAAAGGTTTGATGCGTGCAGGAGTAACTGATCTGGTTAGACCACGAATGATTCCAAATCAGACAGTAACTGCTGTTTTTTCTTGAAAGCTAATTTGTTTTTTTTCTCCAGTCCTCTGGAGAAATCCAGAGGAGTGTCAAATCCAGACACTTCTTCTGAAAATAACTTTCTTTCCATTTTCTTTTCCTTCAGGTGTACCACACAACCTGTTCACTGCTGATCTTTTCATGTCACAATTGTGAGAATGTCTATCTTAAAATCATAAAAAATACTGGCAGATTTACAGTGATTTGGGAAGATTTCTGATACTTTGGCTCTAGATCACTAGACCATGCAGAAGAAGGAGCTAGCTGCAGGGCATTTGCACAAACAAAGCCTTTTCTCCAGAAGCAGCATCTGTAGCTTTGTTTGGTTTATGTCAGACTGAGACATGCCTTATAATACTGCCAAGGGATGGAATTTGGGCTAACAGTATCATGATCCAAATACAAAGCAGTATGCAAATATTTGGCCTGTATTTAGCTGTATTTGTGAAGGACTCCTACCCTTTACTTACTGCAGGAACAGAGGCCATGGCTCTCAACACTGAGCAGCCTTAACTGCTTCTGTGGTCTTGAACCACCAGTGACAGCTTGCATTTGTGCAAAGCTAAGGAAACCCACAACCATTTTAGCTTAACTGCTTCTTCAGACATCTATACAAAGCCACGAGCGTATCACAGGCAAGTAAAAAAATAATAATAGCAGTGTTTAGTGAGTATGCACATTAAGAAAACCCTGAAATGACAGAAAACAAGAAATCTAGTTGCTAAGACATGCATTATATCAGTCTAAAGAGCAGAAAAGCCCTCATGGCTATGTATCCACCTGGTAACACAGACCAGAAAGGTGTACGCAGTCAGCTGCTTCTATTTATATGTCAATAGATGAACCTCATAACAGGTAGCCACTGAGAACTGTGTGAGAGTGAAGTAACTGGGGGGATCAAGTCATTGCTTGAGTCCCTTAGTATAGACCAAACCAAAGTTCAGTTACTTAATGTTACCTTTACATAAATTGCCACATATATATCAGCTGTATATTTTAATCTGGAACTCTTCTCTGTTTGTGGTAGAGCCAGACAAAACGTAGCAAAGCTCCACTGATTACTCAGTTTTTACTACTCTTTTCAAAAAACATTTTATTGTTTTTAGAGACAATATGGAACAATTGGAACAGGTCTAGCATTAAATATGACTGAACAGTCGCCACAGTAAACTGCATCCCAGGGAATAGGGTAACTTAAAGATATTGATGACAGAGCACTGACTCAATTAACGTAGTGCACTAATGAGGTGAACTCCCTCTATTAGCAGGTTGCAAGTTCAAACTCAAGCTCTGCAGCTGGGCCCCAGTGTATACTTAGGCTTTATGCACCAGTTGTAGCTGCAGGGGGCAGGGGGAGAAACCTATTCCTGCTATCAAAGTTATTACTGGAACTGCTCAGGCATAGCTGTAAGAAACACTGCAGGCACTCTGGGCTAGAAACAGTGCTATATTTAGACACAAATAATGTCTTTCTTGATAAAAGGAGTGAAGTGTCTAAGGTATGAAACATCAGGCACAAAACATGAGGAAAAAGAATGCATATTATCCATAACTTAGGATTTGCTTATCATAGACAGATATATGCCATGAGCCAGAAGGAAAAAAGATAAAAGAAAAAAAAAAGAAAAAAAAATCTGTACAAATAAGAGTGCTTTTCTCAAGTGTCTCCTTAGTGCTTAATAAAGAGAGACAGAACTGGAATCCAGTGAAACGAAAACTGTAACGCCGCAAGTGACTACCTTGAAAAACACACTTTTAAACAGATTGAAACAAATTTCACTTGTATCTAATTTTATCTCCAAGGGCTGGTCACTACAAGTCTGAATTTTTTGATCTACACTATAAATTGTATATTAATTTCTTACTATAGATGATATTGTGATTTCAGACTTAACAGTTTTGCAAAAAGTTGGTCTGAAATGAATATACATGCTAAGAAATATTTTAATTAGGTCACATTTCAACAGAAAATCATTCTCTATCAGCTTTTTGTAATTTCCCTTCCATATACAAACATGAAAAAGTTTTTCATCCATATCCGTATCCCCTCCATAAAGTGTACATTTCTTACAGTCTCTTCCCTCTTATCCTGTGCAGAGGTCATACTGTGTATCCCTGAAATGTATTTGCCACTAAACTGCCAAATAGCACACTACAAACTCAATCAAGAACCAGGAGACTGACAAACTGGATCTCATGGAGGAAACTCCATCTGAAGGCCAAAGAAACACCAGCTATAGCAGAAGAAATGCAGGACCTGAGAGGGAAACACATGTCACAGATATTTGGGCAAGCCAAATCAGAGTGTTGGTCTGTCTAAAATGGAGTTATTCCCTGAGAAAACAGTCAAACTAGGTAAAGTCAAACAGAAAAGCTTATGCTACTGAGCCAGGGCAGTGAAGGGCTATCACAGAGCTGTTGCTCTCAGTGCAGGATGCTATTTCACGTGTTTTCTAAATGGTTTTGGCTCCTCTGCACTGAGAGCTAAGTTCAATGACTAAATTGGCTGATTTTAAACTGGTTATTGTTGAGAAATCAATGGCAAGAAAAGCAGATTTTGGAAATGTTTATGAGAAAAATATTAACTGAAAGTCATAAATTATTGTGGAAAGTAAATAACCATTTGAATATATTATTAAGAGAAGTGATAATGCAGCTATGCTTGAAGTTTTAGAAAGAGGATGAATGTCCAGCTAAAAGCTGTTCGCTGAACTCAGCAGCATGGAAGACTATTTTCCTTCACCATGGAGCAAAAGAGATTTGAAAAGATTTGAATCACAAATATAAACTCTATACAGCTCTAAGCTTCCTTTAATTTGGGCCAGACACCAGTTACACTTTTCTTGTTAGACTACAGGTGTAGCAAAGTCAGTTTTTAAAAGGGTCGCCCTGAAGCAGTCTTGACCAGTCTAACTAACCGGCTAAAACTTTACTATGAGTTACACTAGCTATACTAAACCATTTCTCATCAATACCCCTCACGCTGTTCCAGCACAGCCTGACTGTCATCATTTACACAAATGAATTATGTTCAACCTAGTTTTGATCTGGTTACGTATTTGTCTAAAGAGCTGCAGATGGAAAGAATGAGAAGTGCCCAGATGGACAGAAAGGTGACAGTTTTTCAGATTTGTTCCACTTTCTCCCTATATTTTTCCCCCTATTCAAGTATTTTTAAATTCTTGTCTCTTTTTAAATTTTGATCTAACATCAGGGGCAATTTGAGAGGAGGAGCCACAGAGATCTCAGAGGACTCACCATCTCTTTCTTGTCTTCTTGGAAATGGGCATTCACAAACATCTTACCCACAACATAAGGGAGAGCATTTTCAACAAGGTCCACACATTTATCCCACTGGGGCAGCAAAGTTGTGGTTCCATGGATCACCTGTTGGAGGTGCAGATAGTAGGTCATAACATTATACTGTTTAAGAATCATAGAATCATAGAATAGTTAGGGTTGGAAAGGACCTTAAGATCATCAAGTTCCAACCCCCCTGCCATGGGCAGGGATACCTTGCTCTAAACTGTATCACCCAAGGACTCGTCCAACCTGGCCTTGAACACTGTCAGGGATGGAGCATTCACAACTTCCCTGGACAACCTATTCCAGTGCCTCACCACCCTAACAGGAAAGAATTTCCTCCTTATATCCAATCTAAACTTCCCCTGTTTAAGTTTTAACGCTTGTCCTATCACTACAGTCCCTAATGAAGAACGTCTGCATCTGTATACAGGATAGTCTAAAGCATGCTTGTCAAATAGTTACTAAAAGGAAACAATAACAATACTTTTCAGTTAATAACATTTTCATTAAGTGCTATGACAAATCTCTGAGCTCAAGCACATTGCTGCTTTTGTTTCTGTTTCTTATGAGAATAATGTTACTGCGGATGCTTACCCACTCAACATTACATTTTCTCATCAAGGTAGAAGTTAATTTAAAAAAAAATACAATAAAAATACAATAAAATACGAGATGGGTCCATGTAAACAATAGCAGTGCTGATTTAAGAAATATTTTTTTGTTCTCAAGGTTCAAAGCATTTCCTTTCTACTTAAGGAACTTCTTAAAATTTTCCACAGAGAATCGGCAAATCACAGTTCAGTAGTTAACAGCAGTCAGCTATGTAAAAGCAGAACACAGTCAACACCAGACCAGGTCAGAAAGGATAGGGATTTTGGCCTATCACAGATTATGCAAGCCTTTTGAGCATCAATTAGCAGTTTTTGAGCCTTTTCTTTTTCCCAGTTTTCTCCTTCTTTGAGCTTAAGACTAAATTTTTAGCAAAACTGGAGGTTTTGGATTTGTTGTTTTCCAGTAGGAAAAGATTTCATTGGAAAATTCCAGAGTAGCTTATCCCTCAGCTATTGAAGGCCAGATAATTTGGTAACTCAAGACTGATTTTCTCCATCAGATCGTCTGTAATTAAGCTTAATCAATAACTTGTACTTAAAGCCACCAGTGAATTGCGTTTTCAAATGCTCTTTATTAATACTGTATGTTCGCGAATAGTTTTTCAATGACAGAAAGAGCACTGCTTCTATAAGAAAACCACATTAGCCAAACCAATACGTAATAAGGTAATAGTTTCCTAAACAGAGCCAAGCTTGAAAACAAACTCGTTTTCTAAAACATATAACAAAGCATTGGAAAAAAAAAAGAAAAAAAAAAAGGGGGGTAAAAACAAAAAAGGAAAAGAAAAAGTGAAAAAAGTAGAGAGGAAAATTTCTCTCCAAGGTCCAAGCAAAACTACAATGGAGCTTTTTCCTGATGCAGGGAAAGAAGGGGAGTCATGGCATTAGTCATCAGAGCTTGAAATTCCTTCCAAAAGCTTTGACTATACATCAACCGCAGAAAAATTCAGGAGACAGAGCTGGCTTTTAGAATGTGATGTATTATTATTTCAACACAATAATTATCATTATTTTGAGAGTGGCTTGACTGTAAGGAGGACAGAAAGGCAGCACAGGCTGTGAGACCAATAAAAATAGAGCCTACAGGGATGGATTATACCTCACAGCTGGTTTATTGATATTTACGTTACAACAGCCAACTAGAACTCCCTTAAAATGGTCCTCCTAATATTAATATACCACTCTAAAACGCAATACTCCAGGTAGTAACAGCGACTATAAGTAGCAGGTTTCAAGCCCTCCCAGTCAATTTAGAGCTCCACAGCACAGTTAACTGATCTCTTCCCCAGGTGCCACTGCACATTTGCTAGGACTCAAAGCGCCACTGCAGAGGAGCTGCTAGTAGTTGCTGATGTGGTAATCAAAGCATTTTCTCTAGAGTCATCAGGTCTGTCCTACTTCTCAACCTGAAGATTTTTAAAGTTTCATCATGCCTTATTTCTCTCTTTGCAAAGATTTTAAGTGTCTTGATGCAAAGATGTAAAAAGCACCAACAGAAAATGAAAACCTGGTGAAAAGAATACTATGCTTATGAGGGGTGAGGCTGAATGAATGAATGAATGAATTAATTAATTAATTAATTATGTCCTTTTCTTTAAGGGTCACTGATTCATCTAATGGTCATGACTTTTAAGAAGTCATCCAATGTTTTCTTCAATTACCTGGCAAGAGGTTGCTGGGTTCTTTTTATAATCCCAAAGGATCTGTTTGCCTTTAGTCCTCCAGCCTCTGACAGAACAAATCTATTCAAGAAAGCCTTTCAAGCCTTTGCCTTGGACTCCATTTCTCATGTCCTTTCTGCTGACCTCTGAAGTCTGTTCCCCTGAGATGTTTACTGCACTTAACCTTAGCTATTAACTATTAGCTATTGCTGTTTACTGCACTTAACTAACTCTCCATCTCCAGATCCCAGGGGCAGATAATGGGAATGAGCTGCTGACTCACTTGCCATTACTGTGCTGTTCTTAAGTTTTCACAGCCACTTACATGAAAACCCTTGACCACATTGTTAATAAGGACTGAACCAAAGTGAATTAGATTCATTCTTAAGTTTCTGGAGAAAGTACCCAGTGTCAGCAGCTAGTTACCGTATCAAAAAGCATAGTATTCAAAGCTTAAGGTTTCCTTTTAGGAATTTTCCTGACGGTACTATAACTCAGTATAACTCTGTATTATGTTGCAGAATGGCTAATGGCCAGCATCAATCTATTTTACCTGGCTAGCTAGGAATACCCAAGGAGGGGACACACAAACTTGTCCCTGTGATTCTGACAGGCAGTTTCTCATATTTTTGCATGAAGAAAATGGTATCTTTAGCAAGACTGATTTGAATATGATTTCAGAAGTGTAAGAGGCTGTCTTTCCTGTGTAGTTTCCATCAAGATATTTGAGTTAATTTTTAGGCATGTGATCAACTCAGAACTGTTCCACTACTGTTCAAGGAAAGACATTATGGGTGCTTCAATTAGGCACCTGCATGCCTCATTAGGGAGAACAGAGCACCCATACCTCCTGTACCACATCACTGGCAGCATCATGCCAGACTCAAGTTGTCATGATGTCACCAAGCACCTAATTTTCTCAATGACAAACAAAAAGTTCACATTTTTATCTATGGTAAGAACAAGACAAAGCACCTTTCAGTTTCTGCTTCATCCTTGGCTTGCTTAAAGAGCCTCTATGCTGCCTATAGGATTATCAGGGTGGTTTTCTGTTCAGTCACTTGATCAAATAAACATGTTTTACATAAATGCCCATATAACTTCATAGATAATTAGGTCTACTCTCACAGACTGGGCTGGTGACTAATGTGTTCTGGGGCTTCTGCAGCCCCAGGCTGGAAGGCACCTGATTGGCTTCTCTGTAGAAATGGCTGGTGTATGTATGTGCCAGAGCTCATGTAAAGCTGGCACTAGAGCAAGAGAGAGGTTTGAGCAAGCTCAGAAAAGGCAAAATCTTAGACTTTTGTTTTACCAGAGCTATATTCACGCATGCATAAACGGTAGGTTTTTTTCATAAAATTGGATTTTGGCTAAACAAGTTTGGCTTGCAGGAGCAGCACGTCACAGCTTGGCATTTAACTGAAAAACTTTACAGCTTTCAAGTTTCTGCATAAGAAGACTAAGGTTTTTAAAGGAGTGTCTCAAAAACTCCTTAACATAAAAGTTTTCCTTTGTGACATATACAAGAATATGTATGTCTTGATTGTTTTAGAGGGACTCTTCAACAACAAGTGTTCATTCAAAAAATTTACCTAGCATGGAAAACATTCCATATTGTGCAAAGGTATAAGCAGCTATAAGGGAAACTGGTACTATTGACACTGGTATTGTTGTGAATTATGTAAAGCTCTAACTTACCCGAGAAAATTCCAGCCACCGATACTGAAAACGTCTGCTGAGGTTAAATAACCTTGAATAAACCATCCTCCACACCAGATAGTTAGCAAGAGTCCTGTTAAATTAGACATATTTTTATCAGACATCTAATAGCATATGAGGTACTACAAAGTACTCACATCAATATCTCTGCAAACATTTCCACTGAATGGTGGAAATTTCACCTTGAAAATTAATGACTGATGACCAAATTGATACATCCCTATTACACAGAAGAATCTGTACTAATGCAACCACCTAATATGTAATTGCACCATGATAATCATCTTCTAGGGGATATTTATAATGAGCCAATTCCTTAGTATGTTATTTTCAGGTAATTATTTTGTTTCAAAAGACCTTTTTTGTTTTCTATAGAAGTGGCAAGAACCATGTCATAAGAATAGGTGCATAAAAGTTCTATCCAGATATAAGAAAATAACTGTTTTTCTTTTGTAAATTAGAGTGAATGTTATCTCTCTTCATTGCTAGACCACATAAATCATAACTATGAAACAGAATAGATAACAGTTCATCTCAAATATCCTATCAATATCTCATATTTGTATCTTACATTACAAGTTATCCGTATGCTTTTAAAAGTTCTTACTACCCATACAGTTATTAAAGTACTACGCCTCTTCTTTTGTCAGATGGATAATTGAAATACCAAAAAACAAGGTCTCAGTAACAAGAATCTCATAAAAACTGAGGCTGAGAGATCCTGGAAGAACTTGTTTAAAATTCCCAGGAGACCTGACACCCATGTCCCTTTTCTAAAACTTCAAGCACTTGACTGGAGGATTTATTGAGTCTAGGTTGAGCTCTCCCCAAGCTCAGCAGTGTCTCTATGAGGTAAATGTGCATTGTGAAATATGCAATTCAACTTCAGCCCCAAAACAGGTCCAATAATCACCCACACGTATTATTCTCATCTTGTATTACAGAATATATTTTGCAAGGATAGCCATTGCTCTAAAGTTATGGAATCCACATGTTGTTTGTTCTACATTGGGATATATATAACATTTGGGGTAGGCCACAAACTTCTCCATAGGGACGAAAACTGCTCGTTTGCAACAAATATGCTGTTATGGACTGCTTCTAGCCAAGCCCCAGTACACCCACACAAAGCCTCCAGCTCAGGATATGTTGTTGGAAGCTTATACTCTTTATCACCTCCCTGGCTGGGTGACCAAGAGGTGAGAATAGAGAGGTTTAAGGCAAACTATAGCCACATATTGTCTATAGGTGACCAAGCACATGATGACCCAGTAACTTCAGCAGCATGCCCACATCTAAGTGGGACACTACATCAAGAGCAGATGGGTGGCAATCTCAAGCCAGCTGCCACTTCAAAGGCCTCGTCTTTGTGACCAGTGGCAGCTTCTACAGGAGAGTAGAGAATTGCTGTGATTTATATGTAAATCCTGCCTGTTATGCACCTCATCTCTCACACTGGACATATTCCATCTTTTAGTATACAGGTATATCATACAGTATATACAAATTCCCACAACAATTGTAAAACAGATCCGAGAAAGCTCTTTTTTGCACGAATAATGTACATTTATAACACAGTACATGTTACAAAATTTAAAACAGTTAGCTCTGCTTAGACAATCAAATCATTCTGAGATAATGCTTTAGGGTCATCAAAAATTAATTCTAACCTATGAAATACCAGAAAGCATAGATTTTCCATTTAACATATTTCTGACAATGTGGAATTTCCTTACTTGATAGCAACTGAAGCACCCTAAAAATGCTCAGCTCTTGTTGTTTTTGTAAATGACTAGAACTCCACAAGTCTCACAACTCTGCCTCATGTTTTTCAGCAGAGCTGAATAGCATCCATGCTCCTGCTGTAACTACTCTGTGGATCTACAACAATACTTATGCAAGTCCTAAAGACTAAAAGGTTTCATTTCGATTAAAAGTCTTAGGTTAAAAACCCCAGCTAAACAGATCTCTATCATAAACCAATTATAGGTTAGAATTCAGTATTTAATTGCTACCAAAAAAAAATAAAAAATATTCTCCCTTCTGTGTGCTTCCTGTTCTCATCCAGTGCTGTTTGTCCTTCTGGTTAAGCTGGGGAATCCCTGTCAAGCTGGTAGTGTATAAAAGACTGAAATGTGTAAAGGATGAGTCTCCAAAAGATGACTTATTCACAGACACCAATACCAACAGGAATTCAGAAACTTTTGTGTCAGACATAAATAATGAAGGCAGATGTCAGTTTCAGGAAATATCTCACAACTAATTGAGGGTATGTTTTAATTTGGAAAGGGAAAGAAGGCTGACACATCCTAAAACCAAGTCACCTGATGAGATTATAATTCCTGATTGCAATCACACCAGAATTCACCGATGCAGAAGATGCAAAAGAAACCAAACCCAAAACAGTAGGAAGGCTTTGCTTCAAAGCCCAGATACATCTATTTGATGGAGGGCAGCAATGGGGGCAAAGCATGAGGGGTTTTGTTGTTATAAGTTTCTTCGAGGAGCAGTGTTCTTTGTTTTTCAAAACAAAAAGAAATCATATTTTGTTTTAATTTGTTTACCTATTTTGAGGGTGATCATTTTACCTTTTTGACTAACTATACAAAATTAATTTGTCATCTTCATTTGGTTTAGAAACCAACCCATTTTGGTTATGAAATGCCAACAGTGCATATCTTGAGGTGATTTTCATCCCAGTTTCACAAGTACACTGAGGGTCAGAGCAAAATCCAATGCACACATAAAACATAAAAATCTTCTCTACTCTTTCAATAAAACCAGAGCATTTGTTTTTGTAACCTGTCAGAAAAGTACAGCACATAGTACCCTATTTTAACGTCAAAAAGACTGTTACAGGAAGTGTAGGCTTGCTCTTAACCAGTATGACCATTATTGTGATACACACTCCCACAGGAAGTGGTAGAGAGCTTGTTTGCTGGGACAGTTAAAATTACACCAGATCTTATGAATATTTACTAAGGAACTCTCTACCCTGTCTGGGAATAAAGTAGGTTGCTGATGCGAAATTTTGTGAATTTGTAATATTATAATCAACAGCTATGGTAGTAATTAAAGAGGATAGATTAAATATGAGATAGATGGACAAATTACTTGACATTTTAAGGAAAAAAAAATCCCTTTCACAAATATCGAGATCTGTTTGAAAATCGTATTTAGAATTGAGTCAGGAATCAAATTATAAGTACTGAAAAAATTCCCCCTTTATTGCTAGAGGCACTAGTTCAAGTCAAGCTATTGTAACTTCTCTGTAATGTTTCAGAGGCATGCAAAGACCAGAAAGGAGATCTACTGCCCCCATCCCTCTCTAAAGAAAATGCCTTTCATGCTTCAGGAATTACAATGTGCTTCTCTATTAATTGTCCTATACTACAAAGATGGAGGGTAAGGTAAGGAAAAGGAAACCAGTTATTCACTCTGACATTCATGAGAATGATAAAGCTGCTTCCTTCAACAGCTGAAAACATTTCCAACAAGGACACAATTTACCGTGCCCTCTTTATGGCTTACACATAAAGCCCCAGCACACAGGTAAACAGGGAAGGGGTATAAGGGGCTCCTAACAGGTCATAGCGCAGTCCTGTTTATTGTCTCACATGGCACAGCTGTATTTGAGCCCTGCCATTATCTTACTGATACCACAGCTACATCTATGTTTTCAACAGTATTCTTCTTCCTGTAATAGATATAAACTCCATTTAAAATTAGTCAGTACACTAAAAAAACTAAAGAAATCCCTGAAGACTTCTTACAAAGTTTGATTTCAGCGCTGAACACCTGATATGATTTAGATTAGCTAGCTCAGGGCTAATGGAAACTCCTGCTAGGGTAGCTACCCAGATTCTTGGGCAGCTTTCTACAGACAGCCATGCTGCTAGGCTGGATTCACAGGAGTGCCCTGGCTTGGGAATTTCAGACAGACCTCCAAATTGCACAGCTGCACATACTTCAAACTCTACACAGTAACATGATTATATGCAGCAGGGTTGTCAAGTAGATAACTTCCTCATTCTACAAAGTTCACTCTACAGCCTGCCAAAGTGCTATTTTCTAATAACATTGCCATGTGAATGATTTCACAATTCAAGATTATTCAGCAGGTTCTTCAAGGAAGCAATTTTTAATATTATTACTGTGAGTCCATATAACTTGTCACCTTCATCATGAAGAACTGCTTCTCTAGCCAGACTTAATTTTCCCTCCATTCTTCCCTCCACCGGAAACAAACTTCACAGAGTACTTTGACAGATCCCTAGGGCATGAACTACTTTTTTGCTGCCATTTTGAATAGCACCCATGACAGCAGGTTGCTCACTTGGGACACGCAAGGCATTGGAATAAAATTATACTTTAGGGGTAGAAGATTTGTAATGGAAAATGATATGAATTTGATGAAAGTACCTGCTTCTTCTGATGACACTGCATCTCCTGAAATGGTGGGAATTGACATTCTAATCACTCAAATCCAAAATTTTGGAATGTTTTACTACAAATTTGATTGGTCTAGATTTTACAGTAACAAATAAAATTCATGTTGTTTGCATAAATTTAACCTTTAAAATATCATACGGAGAACAAGATATGAGATTACCTGAAAGAAAATGCCTTTTCTAAGCTTTCAGAGTTCGCACTACATGGAAATGTTAAGACCTCATTGTTAGGAGTTCGCATTAAGATGATTCCCTAATTTTCTCAGACCGGATAACAAGGTTACTTCTGGAGCAGACTGTGACATTTTAAGTAATGAAAATCATCATCTAATAGACAAACATGATCTTTGTTGCCATGCAGAGACTGTTTGGATGGGTTTTACAAACAAGAATTTGAAGCCTGCTTGGGTTGAATTTAGCGCTATTTTCAACTTCTAACATTTTGTGATGCAAATTTCTAACCGTGAGACTGAGAAGAAAATGCCCAACCCATTATCATCTATAAGATATGCAGGATGAATTTACTTGAAATCAGACACTGCTTTTGCCCACTTCCTGACCTGTGTGAGTCAGGAAGCTGGTATTGGGCTCTGCTGAAGACAGGCATTGCCATTCTTTCTGGTCATTATTCCAGCCTCCCTCTGTATGTCACCAGCTGGCTTAACTCTTGTTCAGTACTCAGATTTTCCCTGAATAAGACCTTAATGGGAAAAGTCTCCAGGTATTTACCCTGTAGTTACAGAATAAATTTTCGTTTAAGTGTATTTGTAGAGAGGCAATAGCTAATTATCTGTTGTCTTGCTATATATGCATCCTCTTAAATCACCACTTTATACCCAGTGACGTAACTAACTCTGAGATACAAAAAGCATGGACAGCCCAAAACATTTAGAAGACTTTCTTCAGTAGATTAAGATTGGTGGCACACTAATGATATTTGTTAGAATTTTACAAAGAAAGGATGTTTTGTTTATCTGAAGGCAGATCAATAATTTTTATTTTTTGTATTGTTCAATTTGTGTGTTATGTTTACAGGTACTATGAATTAATGTAAACCTTCTGTCACTGGAGACACAGTCAACAATATAATGCTTCTGAATTAGTCTTTTTTTCTGAAACATAAGCTTACTTGTGGCCATACTGTATAATCAGCAAAAAATTATTTTTTGAAACAACAGCCTAACAATATTTTTTTTAAAGCTCAGAAACATGCCTCAACAGAGATCAAAATTATCACAGAATCACTTGGATGACATCAATAATGATGTTTTGAAATCAGTTGTCAGGTTCACATACACTTTTTCATCACACTGCCCAAAGGTGTGTTGCTTCCCTGTGCAAAGCACATCTACTATGTTTAAGCTACCTGCATGTTGCAACTATGTCCTATGGGTGTAAACAATTTGACATTGTACAAGACCCCATACAAGTAAGAGATGCTGAATGCACCTGCAAAGAGCATCTTTAATGTAACACACTTTCCATAAATTAAGGTGTTGAAACTGCAAATTTTCCTGCTTCACACAAGCTAATATCTATATCCTCATTCAGACAAAACCAAACAGACTTTTTGCATAGAGACTTGATTCCAAGATTATCTGAAATACATTTAAAAAAAAGGCAAATAAAAAGAAAAAAAACCAAAAAAACCAACCAACCAACCAAACAAAAAAAAAACAGGAAAAGCTATGTCCTCTCATAAATGCGCATGAAACCATCATAGGATCCTTACTTTTTCCTTTCATTTTCTAGTATCCTGAATAAATCTTTGAAGTACTGGGGAACACGGACAATCACGTTTTCTGAAGGACCTATATCTTTGAGCTCAGGATAGAGTCTGGTGTCAATCACCTTCTTGATGTATCCCAGCCAGTCAAACTGCAATGACAAAGAGAGGCTGGTTAAAGCAGATTATGAAGACAGATGATTTATTAACTAAAGTGCACCACTGAGAGTAATGGTCTCAAATCATACTATGACTTTAGAAACTATCTCCTTTTGCCTTTACATGTGTTTTCAAACCTCAGTAAACTTGTAACTGTATTTAAAATAACATCTGCCATAATTGAGTACACACATTCCTGATGATATTCCTTTAACATGCTGCTCTGACCACTAAAGGCAATCTAAATTACATAGGTTAGACATTAAAAGAATAATTTTGCAATTATTCCCAACGAACCTGTGGAATCATGGCACTAAGCTCCGATATGTTCATTTTATTGTACATCACCTCACTTGTTCGATTTTCGTATGGAATCATGATCTGGGGGGAAAAAAAAGTAAAATAAAAAAAAATCATCAGAATAAGAATTATCTTGCAAGTACCTGCTCTTACATTATTACTGTCCATCGTAAATCCTCGTGCAGAAATATCTCGCCACCTGCTTTCCAAGCAAAGCATTAACTTCCCTTTCTAAGGATGACATTTAACTAGGAGAAATGGAACACAGGTCACTGCCAGTTTAACTCATTACTGGGGAATTTAATGAGCTGCATGTCTTCTTTGAACATATTAGACCAATTTTAGCTCTGCTTGTACTAAGGAAATGCATGCTGATTCATAAGAGATAAAAGCATACTGAGACCACGAATATTTATTCATCCCATCATGTGGGGTAGAAGCCAGCTCCAAACTATATGGTTTAAAAGGTCAAATCTGAGATAGGTATGGTGGAGTTGCACCTTGCCTCTTGGATTTGAACACTTTCTTGCTACAGCCTGTCTCCATCTGAGGGAAGAACTGGATACACACAAGTATTTCTTCATTTTACTCCACCATCCTCATTACCAGAAAACCTGGGTATATAGGCCACATATGATCTAAAGCATTCTCCAACTAGGCCTCTCATCTGGGTGACCAGAGGAGCCAGACCTCAAGATTTTCTGTAATGTTAAAGACCAAGGACACAGCAAAAATAAACCCTAAACACAAAACAAGTCCTTTTGTAATTGAGAAGGGACATTCAGATTCCAAGATGGCAGTATGGTTCATAAGAGAAAAACAAACCAAACACAAGACAGAGCTCAAAATTTTCTCAGTGTTCAAGAGAAACAAGAATTCCTCATGGCAATTCCAGCGCTGCTCTAAGGTAAATCTTATATGACAGTCTGTACGCTATGCAGTTTAAAGAGGACAGAGGTTGATGCCAGAATAACCAGACAGCTGGTGGCTCTCCAACCAGAATTCTCCAGTAAGTTCCTGTGGTTTTACTATTGCTAAAGCCACTCAGAAAAAAAATATAACTTTCTTCTCCCTTTTTGCTAATTTCATTTACCTGACAAATCTCTAGACTCTTCTTGAACCTGTCTGTTCCCTTCCTCTCAAATCTTTTCCCATTCCTCCAGAAATGCAAACCTCATTGAAATCTTCCTTGTACATAATAAGCTCTCTTGAAGCATGACACTTCTTCCTGTATCCAAAGTATGCTTCCTTTATCCTTCCTCTCTCTTCCTGGGCACATAAGTTCTCCATTACATACATTCACTTAAAATGAATGCAGAGGAGCACAGAATACAGTAGAAGCCTAAGTAACAAACAGAACTATCTCCTTTGAAATCATGGTAAATGTTTATATAAATCATTGTGCTCGTTAGGGATTATCCAAAACCCTTCTCCCTGGACTCATGCCTAATAATCTAGATGTATTTTAAGAGTATTCACAATAAAAGGAAATTAGGTAACCATGAGCAAGTCAAGTGTGGCTTGTTGCTATGCATTACAGAACCTGAGAACATTACAGTTGCATGACTATGCATTACATGATCCATGTCATTGTATATGGCAACTGCACCTATATACTTTGTGGATTAAAGCTCTGTAAGATATTTGCTAAGTAAAGCATTAGAGCTACCAGAAGCAGCAATGGATCTTATCACATCACCAATAAATATAAAAACTTGTTTCTGTTTTTCAAGTCTACTGGGTAACTATGAAGTACATGCTCATTAGTCCATCTACACTGTGTATCTGAAGCTGAATATTGGGCTTTATTTAAGAGTTTGGCAAAATTTCATCTCTTTTGGCAGAGATGGAAACACTGATTTACTACTACTGTTAATGACCCTCAATTCTGTATAAACCACTAAGAAGCATCACTGCCTTTCTTCCTGCAGACTGCAACAGCAGCACCAGGGGAAAAGTATTCTGCTGCATCAGCTGTCCTATGCAACAAGTTTCTCTTTTAACAGGATACTCAGCATTCCACAGGGGATAGCTTATTTCTATGGTGATATGAAGAAATAGCTCAGCTGACAGTTCTGCAAATCAGTGTCAAGTTTGTAGCCTTAACTTTTGCTGATTTCCCAGCATTGAGGTTAGCTCTTCTCTCTAGCTTTAGAAGAAGTGGAAATGATAGTGGATTTGCAGCTCTGAGGAACAGGACTCCTGCAGCAGCCATACTGAAACAGGGTATGGGGAAGCAGAAATTCTCCTTCAGCCTGCAATAGTCCTAATGCATAAATTAAAATCCACAAGGGGGTAAATAATGTCACCAAGTAAATCAGTCAGAACCAAGTGCCACATTTAACTCTGCTTAGATTTACTAAATTCAGTTGGTCTCCTAAATCAAAATTCATGGAGTTTCTCGGCTCCTCTCCAAAGGTGCCCCATGAAAGCAATTCAGAAGCTAACTGCCATGTGACTGTAACCACTGCCCTCTCACTACCATGCAGCAATGACACCTCAGTGTTGCACTGCTTTTAGACTGTTCAGAGAATCAGCCTGATCTGATTCTTGAATACATGGTAAAGTATTCTCAACATAACTGCACATCAGGGACTCAAATTCTGCCCAAGCTCAAAATTATAGAATCACAGACTCACAGGATTGTTCAGGTTGCAAAAGACCTTTAAGATCATTGAGTCCAACTGTAAACTTAGCACAGCCAAGTCCACCACTAAATTATGTCCCTAAGCACTTCATCTGCACATCTTTTAGATACCTTCAGGGATGGTGACTCAACCACTTCCCTGGGCAGCCTGTTCCAGTGCTTGAAAACCCTTTTGGTGAAGAGATTTTTCCTAATATACAATCTAAAACTTCATACACTTGGCATCAGCCCATTGATCATAGGTCTCCAGCTGCACGATGGCTTCCAATGCATTGGTGCAGATGCGCTTCAGTTGAGCCATCAACTGTTCAGATGCCACAACATCTGGGGGGGGAGAAGCCCAAATTCCTACATGACCATACTCAGGTGTTTCTGTGGTTTCCAATAGATCAATAACTCTTGTGTGTTTGCTGCCGCATGGATCTCCATCTTTTACCTCCACTGAGACAGCAGATTAAGCAACCTTGTTAGCACAGTCCCTCAGAACTAGAATGCCAACCCTAGGCTTACCTCTAGTGAGTCTGGTTAATATATGGTGGCACTGGAACAGGTTGCCCAAAGAAGTGGTAAATGCTCCATCCCTGACAGTATTCAAGGCCAGGCTGAAAAACTATTGCTAAGGTTGTTGATATAATGGCTTTTCATTTTGAAGAAGTATTGCACTTTTGTTAGGTAAAAGGTAGCTTCAGTCCTGCATTAGGTTACCAACCTCAGCTATTTTAACTTCCAGTCTTAGAACCGACTTCATATCAGACTCAGCTCGTGAAGCATTTGCTCCCAGAAGCACTGCTGTATCAACCATGAACTGCAAAAAGGCATCTCGATACTGTAAAGAAACAAAAAGGGTAAAATTACCACTGGATTTATTGTGAGCACAGCTGTAGCAGTAGACCAGAAATGCCCGGCTATTGAAAAGTGTACAAATACTTTGTACTTTCATGACCTAGCAATCAAAATTTTGCTTTCCTTACCTTGAATGCCTGCTGTCATCAAGGAAAAAAAGGAGAAATAACACTGTAAACATACTGTGCATAGTGGAGAGATACCCACTGCGATTCACAGAGTATAAATCTCAGGGAATGGAAATGACACTTCTGGATTAGACTGACAACACTTACAGCTCTTAAAGTGGGATTAGACAATGTGTATGAAAATCATATTTAACCTGCCTGATTACCTTCTACAATTACATTAATTTCTCAGTGAAAGACAGGAGAGCAGTTTTGGTTGTTTACTAGGTTTAAAAAGTACAGGTTAGAGAAGGGATACAGGTTGGTACAGGTTGTATCAGGTTGTATACAGAAGTACAGGTTGGCTAGGGATATTAAGGATAACAGGAAGGGATTCTACAGATACATAGCAAACAAAAAACAGATTAGGGAGAACGTAGGCCCCCTCAGGAAGCTCTAGGGTGAACTGGCTACACAGGATTTGGAGAAGGCTGAGGTTCTGAATGACTTCTTTGCCTCGGTCTTCTCTAGCAAAGGCTCTGACCGCACCACCCAAGTCTTGGAAGGCAGACGCAGGGACTGTGAGAATGAAGACCTTGGGCCCACTGTAGGAGAGTATCTGTTTCGAGACCATCTTAAAAACCTGAATGTGCACAAGTCCGTGGATCCTGATGAAATCCATCCACAGGTCCTGAAGGAGCTGGCAAATGAAATTGCTAAGCCACTGGCCATCATATTTGAAAAATCATGACAGTCAGGTGAAGTTCCCGATGACTGGAAAAAGGGAAATATAACCCCCATTTTCAAGAAGGGGAAAATGGATGACCCAGGGAATTACAGACCAGTCAGTCTCACCTCTGTGCCTGGTGAAATCTTGGAGCAGATTCTCCTGGAAAGCATGCTAAGGCACATGAAAAACAACAAGGTGCTTGGTGACAGCCAGCATGGCTTCACTAAGGGGAAATCCTGCCTGACCAATTTGGTGGCCTTCTATGATGGGGCTACAGGACTGATGGACAGGGGTAGAGCAGTTGATGTCATCTACCTGGACTTGTGTAAAGCGTTTGACACTGTCCCACATGACATCCTTGTCTCTAAATTGGAGAGACATCAATTTGATGAATGGACCACTCAGTGGATAAAGAACTGGCTGGATGGCCGCACACAAAGAGTTGTGGTCAATGGCTCAATGTCCAGCTGGAGACCAGTAACGAGTGGTGTCCCTCAGGGATCAGTGTTGGGACCGGTCTTGTTGAACATCTTTGTCACTGACATGGACAGTGGGATTGAGTGCACCCTCAGCAAGTTTGCCGATGACACCAAGCTGTGTGGTTCGGTTGATACGCTGGAGGGAAGGAATGCCATCCAGAGGGACCTTGACATGCTTGTGAGGTGGGCTGATGCCAACCTCATGAAGTTTAACCATGCCAAGTGCAAGGTCCTACACCTGGGTCGGAGCAATCCCAGGCACAGCTACAGGCTGGGCAGAGAAGAGATTCAGAGCAGCCCTGCCGAGAAGGACTTGGGGGTGCTGGTCGATGAGAAAATGAACATGAGCCGGCAGTGTGCGCTTGCAGCCCAGAAAGCCAACCGTATCCTGGGCTGCATCAAAAGGAGCGTGACCAGCAGGTTGAAGGAGGTGATCCTGCCCCTCTATTCTGCTCTCGTGAGACCTCACTTGGAGTATTGTGTACAGTTCTGGTGTCTTCAACATAAAAAGGACATGGAACTGTTGGAACAAGTCCAGAGGAGGGCCACGAGAATGATCAGGGGACTGGAGCACCTCCCTTATGAAGATAGGCTGAGAAAGTTGGGGCTGTTCAGCCTGGAGAAGAGAAGGCTGCGTGGAGACCTCATAGCAGCCTTCCAGTATCTGAAGGGGGCATATAGGGATGCTGGGGATGGACTCTTCATTAGCGACTGTAGTGACAGGACAAGGGGTAATGGGTTAAAACTTAAACAGGGGAAGTTTAGATTGGATATAAGGAGGAAATTCTTTCCTGTTAGGGTGGTGAGGCACTGGAATGGGTTGCCCAGGGAGGTTGTGAATGCTTCATCCCTGGCAGTGTTCAAGGCCAGGTTGGACGAGGCCTTGGGTGATATGGTTTAGTGCAAGGTATCCCTGCCCATGGCAGGGGGGTTGGAACTTGATGATCTTAAGGTCCTTTCCAACCTTAACTATTCTATGATTCTATGATTCTAAGTGTACATTGAAGTGGATAAAAAATGGGCTGAGTCAGGTCCAGAGGGCTGTGATCAGCAGCACAAAGACTTGGATGCCAGTCACTATTATTGCACTTCAGATGTCAACACTGCTTGAGCAGAAGGGTTGGACAAGATGAGCTCTGGAGGCCCCTTCCAAGGGATAACAAAAGCACAGGGATCCCAAGTCTTACAAAAATCTTCATTTGAGAAATTTTGCTAGTGTTTGTAGTGGTGGTATTTTCTGATAGAAGATACTCTGAAAATTTTTGATCCAAACAAGCTGCATTCCTTTCTGAGTTTGGAGTTCAAGAAAACAAAAGCAACAATGGAAAAAATGGAGGGGGGGAAATAGTCATTCTCATTTCCTGTTAATGATACTTACAGATTTGGCTTCTGTGGTGTTCTCTAGGTAATCCTCTCGAGATGCAAGAGAGAGGCTTGCTTGGTCGAACTGGTAAAAATGACAAGAAGCAGCATTCAGTGTGTAAATTCATCAGAATGCAAAGGTAAGAAACCTTGCGAGGTTTGTTCTTCTGATAATTACGGTAGATGTGTGCAAATATCTAATACTTAATACATTGCACCAGCCTAAATTTCACAGGATTTCAAAACAACAGAAAAATGCTATACTGTGCTGACAGACAATACTTAAATCACATCACTGTGATCTGAGGAGCCTCAGATGCCCTCTGCAATACCTGAGCCACATACTACAGCAAAGAATCACCTACACAATGTATGTGTTTATGACTCTGTTAGCAAGCAGGTAACGCACTAGCAGTGGGTCTACAGTTGGTGGTGATGACCATTCATCCTATATATATTTCAGGGTACAACAGTCAGCTTGAGGCAAACACTAGTCTAGTACATGGATCAAGTGGTCATTAGGTACAGGAGCATACTTGCTGCTGTGTATCTAGAAAGCATCGCTAGCTTTTTTGATCAAAATTAGGTTACACTTTTGATCTTCACCCTAGACAAGCACTAAGTGGTGTATTTGGGTTTATTGAGCAGATGTACTAAAGCAGCTGGATATTAGCCACAGAAATGACTGCATGCATGCACAGGAAATAGTTATTCCTCCAGTACACTAGCTAAAAATGTCTGGTAATTCCAGGTGGATCTTTGACTTCTACTTATATTTTTGACTTAAACAGGGATCAAATTTGTTAGTCTACAGTCACGCATATATTGGAATAAAGTCCTCCAAACCAGACCTGAAAGTTCATTGAGATCTGCACTTAGCCTTTTGAGTGAAATGACTACATGGGAGAATTTGCTTACTATTTCAAGTTCCTTACCAGGCAAAACTCACAGCACAGCATATATCTTAAAATCACCACTGGAAACCGAGATTTCCAAAAACATTTCAATGCAATGAAGTCAAGTTAGGGTATGGAAGCTGAAGATGAAAAAATTTAGCCAACACCCAAACTCTGAATAAGATACTACCTGAAGCAGAAAGAACAGTTCTGATGTTCTAAAACTGTTATTTTGATGCTGTATTTGCTTTTACAAGATAAGTCTAGTGAAGAGAGATTGTATTTATTAATATAATTTCATATAGTCTTTTTTAATCTAAATCCTGCATCATTTATGTTTCACGTTTTCTACATTTATAAAAATGACCTAAATAAATACAACTTAGAATCTAAAAATGAATTAATAAATGTAATTTTTTCCTCTACTTGTTGATGTTCTCAACCTTTAAAGCATACCAGAAATAAATAAATAAACCACCCACAAAAAGGAGAGTAGCTGTGATGCTCAGTGCAACCCTGATTCTTTGAAAAATAATATCACCTTCTTTTTTCATATTGAAGCAAAAATAATATACTCTTATGCTCTGCATATGTGTGTCCTGGTCATAGTCAATTTCAGTGATTTGATCTGTTTCAATTATGAGATTGTTTCATAAAATGCTTATCCAAATCTTCCTGGCTTAAGGGTTACATTTGACAATACATTGAAACCAAGAAAGTACAAATATGAAATATAAAAAAAAAAGTTCACCAACTTCTTCAGCTCTCAAGAAAAAAAACCAAAAACGCCCATGTTGAAACCTGAACAAAGTTTTATTTGGAATTTCTACTTTTTTTCTGATCCACTCATGATTTTGCAATGCTGAACAAAAAGAATTTTGCAATAGAGCCATTTTCACAGGCATATTTGAAATACTCTGTGGTATTACTCTGCTCCCCTGGGTATTTGTTAAAACGTGGACAAAGTCAAATACTGTCGGATACATTCTGCAGATCAAGACTTAATAAAATTTACAACAGAATATCCTATGGAATAATAGATCATTTATACCACGTAGTGCTTCAGTTATTTAGATGTCTAATTTTTAGGTGCCACTAATCATACTGAGTGAAGATACTGCCAGGTATAATTTGTTTCCAAGAGACCACCGATATGACTGCCCAGCCTTTTCTTGACAGCTGACTTGGCCTGAAATATCATGACAAGAGATAACTAAACAGCTCTCCGGATTCTACTGTTTCAATTCTTTAAGGAAATCTCCAGGCAAAGCTGTCCTGACAGGATCTGAACAATGTCTTAGCAGTGTGAGATCTTTAATACAGAGAACAGTTGATCTGCTGTTGACCTGCCTATTCAGGAAAATGTCCTAGAGATGGGGAAAAGTTACCCTTCAAATTTATACCAGGTTAATGCCTCAGTCAAAATGCATTTCAAAAACTGTCTCAGAATCGACATCCACTCTAGTACAACCACAGTTAACTGCTGTTTGATCCTCAAGTACAATGTATTCCTGACTACATCCCTACAACTAGCCAAGATGCTAGCAATGTAAGGATCATAGATCCTATTTTGCTGTGATGAATGGCATCATAACTTTCTTCTTTGTCCTTTCTCTCTTGCTTTCATAAAGTATTTTCTTGTAGCAGTGCAGGGCTGGTCTACTCTGGCTATTCATCTCTACTTCTTAAACATCAATGCATCTGGCCCAGGCAATCACTCTTGCCACGGTGACATCTCACAGTAATGAAACTCTCCCTGGAGTTTTGGCAGACTACAGTGAGGCAACATTTCTAGGGTCTTTTTCTCAGTAATCTAAAGTGTTGTGTAATGCCATGCACTGTTAACAAACTGGTAACCCTTTGGTCCAAAAGCTATAACATTTCAGCAACAGGACCAATTCTGTATTTCAGGTTTAGTAGTGCTTGGGATACACCTGTGTTGTTATATGCAGTATAGGCACAAAGCAATGTGTTTCCATCTCAAGAAAAATAGCTCAAGCTATATGCTATTGATGCATCATTCTTCATCTTCACAAACACAAAACATTCTTCATGCAACTGATGAGTCATAAGCAGCAGTCATAAGCAGCACCCAAGAACACCACCTGGACTAGATGTGCACCTTTCTCATTTTCATGTACCTATACCCTGGACATTGGTCCAAAGAGAATGTTTTACCTTGTTTGCCATTTGAAAGGAGAAAATATCCTTTACAGAAATACTTTTTAATAGCATGTTGTTCCTAGTGGTTTCTACATTCCCACAAATCACCTCCTATGTACATTTGTAAATCAGTAGATAACACCAACAATAATCAAGGGCAAACATTTGGTATGCAAACATGTTTTTTAAAAAAACGAGAACACAAGATACCATGCAAAGTAATCCATTAGATATATTATCCAGTACCTTCAGGATATAACGATTGGAGATTTTGTCATCAGCAGCCACATATAAACGGATGAAGACAGAGTTACTGTGTTGACCACGAAGAGTTGCCAAGGCTTGGACTAAGCTAAACCTCCTTTCTGACCACAGCCCTTCAGGTCCAATGTTGGATTCCAGCACAGGCCAGCGAAAAGGTGAGTGTCTCAGTATACTTAAGAGGGGTTTCACGTCAGCTTTTTCAATTTTATCTGAAATGCCAAAGTGTGACAACAATTACATTCCAGACAATTCAAATCCAGTAGCAGCCACACAAGCACAAAGATTTATTGGTGTTGATTGACTTCTAGGCAAGACAAAGAACAAAAGCTGAAAACCAAAGGCTCTGCTATTCCTGTAAGCACAGAAGAATGGGAGTCCAACCCAGTTTATCCGCATCAAGAAAAAGAGAGACAAATCAGTGCCTTTCAAAAAGGGCAAGGGCTAGAATTAGGTCAATTAAAAAAAAAATCCTCACTTAAGAACTAGCATAGCAACTTCACTGTTTGTGAGAGGGAGCTATTGTACGTAATCAAAGCTAGAGAGGTCAGCATCTTGGCACCAAGGCTGCAGAGCAGGCTGTCTCAGTTGCTGACAGTCAGTCTCAGGCTATGCTGAAAGAAAATTGTGCAGGAAATAAAGTCTGAAGGAGTCAGAAGGACAAAGGGCATCTCATCCCAACTCATCTTTCACCCATGCAGCTACATAAAGGTAGAGATGTGCCCCAACCTAGTGTGCATCACCTTACAGGAACATTTCAAGCTCAGGAAAATCATTCCACATATGTGGCTATATGGGTCCTCCTCCAAACTTGCTTGGCTTATTAGTTCATCTTAAGCTAAAGAGTCATAGGCTGTCTGTACCCAGCCCTGTGGAAGTGTTTTGATTAAATGGATTTAAAGAAAGGTAGAAGATACTAAGCAATAGGGTCTTGAAAGTGTCAGTATGAGTTTTCATCAGAGGATTCCTCTGATTTACTCGGCACTACCCCCACAAATCCAGGGCATGGTTTGGTATCCTTTTGCAGAGGTAAACATCCCTTCACAGTTTTCTGACAAGCAGAGGTCTCTATAAAACTGACTTCTTGTGCCTTGGTGTACCTCAGTCTTGATAGATAGCTTCAGAAATATGCAGAAAATCCTCTGCATTCAGTTGAATCAGTGAAATCTGTGCCTCTGCACAAAGCTTTACTGTCCTCAGCAGAGAGCAAAAAAGCCTGCTTTATAAAGACAGGTAATATATATGTGTTCCTCTCAAATCAGGCTACTTACTCTCATTCATGCAGGATGCATAAAGGATCTTGGCCTTCTGCACAGCTTCACTGTCTCGCCTTTTGCTGATGGGTTTCTCAAGCAATGCTGAAAAAACAAATTAAATTATTTTCAATGCATCACAAAATGTAGAAACTGTTTGTCTGTCCCAGGATTTACTTTAATCATAGCATTTAATTAAGGATGAGGTTCCATGTATATTTTCTTAAGCAGTAACAAAGACATAATTGCACTTATTTTGATCCCCAACAGAGAATGACTATTTATTTATTTATTTTTAAGAGGACAGATTTAAAGGCAGGTAATAGATACCGTGTGTTACTCATCCTCTCAAACAGCAACCCTCAGCAGACTGAGGGGATAGTGAATCATGGGATGAGGGTGGGAAGGAACCAGTGAATAAGGCAGGAAGTCAGAGATTCTTTCAAGTGGCTCAGCCTCTGGTGTTGGTATGCTATGAAATTGGGGTCTAACAGAGATGACAGAATCCCAGGAATGAGACCAGTGGCATTCACTTTTGCCAGATCCACTGCTGTTGAAGAAAGCAGCAGAGAACTACCCTGTGGCTGTCAAACACACACAGACTCAGTCCTGTAAATGACAAAGATGGTCAAGTGTCCAATTATTACCTGAAAAGCTACACTACATAGCTCCCTCACACTGTAGGTATCAGCCTCCTTGGTGACTGAAAGCCAAACTAGCGTTTCTAAACCATCATCTCTCTCTATTGCTTGCATTCCCCACATTTCCTTATGGAAGTGAAATAGCTTGAAAAGTGCGTCAGAATCTCAGCAGTCCACTCTCAGCTGCCTCAAGCCATTTTATCTAAGTTGTAAATCAGCCATGATGCAGGTGCAGATACCCATACTACAACTAAATACAGAGGCAGCTTAGCTTCAACAAGATCTATCTGCTTAGGTGTAGCACAGCATAAGCACTTCCATGGCAAAGAGAAGCAGAGTAGTATTTAAGCACAGCACAGAAGCCCAGCTAGTAAATCCTGTTGGACCTCACCTGGTTTTGTAAGACCCAAACAGGTCCTGCACAGCATTAGCTTATTGTTACTGGGACTCCTGGAGAGAGTGGCTTTGCTGGAACCATCCCAAGTCCCTCCTGCTGTATGCTCAGCCAGAGCTAAAATGTCTTAAAAAATTCAAAAGGGCCTTCTCTGTGCTATACTGCTCAGTGCTCTTGGTTTCAAATAAGCAAAGGCACAGTGCAGATCAGCCCTGTGTATTGAGCTAAGAAGCATGCCATACACAAAAGGGGGAACGATGAGCAAAAGGAGATTCCCAGGTCCATACTGCTGACCTCAAACTGTTTAGTAGTCAAAGAATACCCTGGTGGTGAGAAAATGCCACTTGTACTCTCCCTACAATCCTTTTTCTCCTTAAAAAAAAAATAAAAATAAAATAAAACCACAACCCTGCTGCCCCCCCCCAAACCCTACCAAAACCAAGTCAAACTCATTTGCTTGGATCCTTGCGAGATGTAATGAGATCCTTCTCTCTTATTTATAGATAAGATTTTCCCTAAAAATACTGCTGGATATAATTCCCAGTAGTTTTGGTTTCAAATCCTCAGCTTGTTAAAGACAATATAATGCAAATCATCAACACATATCTTCAATGTCCACAGTTCTTAGTAGAATAATTGGACCTGTTCAAGTTTTAAGAATGGCATTTTAAAAGAAACCATAACTGAAACCTCCATTAAACTGAGGATGAAAAAAATACACTCCTATTAAAGCCATTGCAATAACTTTTGTTCCTTGCTAGTGAGCTGCACAGCCATGAAATTTTGAAGCTAATAAAATTCAGTGGCTGAAGCCCAGCTAAAGCTCAGGAGAGATGCAGAGGATGCGATTCAGTAAAATAAAATAAACTCTAGGAATACACTTGCATCAAATCCTGTTAAAATCAGACCTGATGTTTTCCCATCAAGCCATTTCATTATGCAACAGAAGAAGCTGTAACACTCCTTGCACTATTGTAAAGGATGAGGTAGGGTAGATGCTGTTAATTTGCTAAGAATTCATTTATGAAGAAAATTCTTGGTTCTGATGATGTACAGTCCAGTGATCAAACAGTGAAAGCTTTGATAAGGTGGTTGAATCCTGGGGTCACTGATATAGAAGATGTGATCCAGGCTATGGAGTTTCCACAGCCTTAATCTTAAGCTTCCAGAGAGATTTATAAGCTCAAACTTGGAGCAGTGGTTACATCCACTTGATTTCTGCATTAGCTAGTATAACCAATGCAAGGTCTAGAGTTTCTTCTTATTTAACTCATAAATACATATGGATTTTATATGTCCTTGAATATTTAACTTCTTAAAGAAGAAAAGCAAGACAAGAAGCAATGTATGCTAATCAAAAATATGGGTAATCAATTAGGCTACCTACCATTTGCTGTATCCATGGAAAGAAAGTCACTACTGTGAATGAAATCAATGTAGACATATCAAGCTATCTTTAAATTAGTAATGTCAGGTACTGTGAGTAGCTTCGCCATAGCAGCAGGTTGCAGCAGCCCCTGTCCTGCACTGAGCATTTCTGATCATGTGGGTCAGTGCACGCCAAGTTCTACAGCACAGCATTCTGAAGAGCTGGAGCCCCTCTGAAAAAATTCAGCTCTTAACTATATCTAGCTGGAAAGACACTTCCCACCTTGAAAAATTTTAATGGCTTCAGATACTTTCTCTTTGGACACCAGAATGAAAGCAAAACCTACAAGGTCTTCTAAGGGATAGGAAGAGAAAGACCACCACAGATCCATTAATGTTCAGCCTCATGAGATAATCACAGACCTGCTGTTTAGTTCCCCACTCTGTCTTCCCAAGCACCTGCTCTTACCCCTCACTGGGGGATTCTGTATTTGTACAAATACACTGAGAAGTTCAGTCTAGCAGGCTTCTCTCAAGTCCAGGAGCTGGAGTTAAAAACTGTGGCCAAGTTAGGGAGATCAGGGTTACCAGCATTTTGACTAAAGCAATTTTCTCAGTGCTGAGAAGGATATTGAGTTTGCTCTTATGGCAACTTATTTCTTTTTCTTTAACTTAGCCTTCTTTCAAATTAAAAGCTCCAATGCCCCAATGCAATATTCCAGTTTGGGACTTCAAACTTTTTTTTTTTTTAATAAGATTTTTTAGGAACAAATTGCTTTGGCCAGACAAGAAATACACAGCACTCCAATGATATCAAAAAACAGCCCTTGAAATAATAGTTCATTTGTTAGCTCCCAGTTAAATGTTACAGTTCTAGAGTTGGAATCTAACTTTAGAGATTAAAAAAACCCACAATCTAAGCTGATTTACAGCCTTCTGAAAAAGAACAGAATTACTATTAGCATGAACCATAATTTAACAACTTATTGCAGCTACTGACCCACAACACCAGCCTGCCAATAATACTAAGCAGAAAATCATAGCAAAAAATCACCAGGACATGCAAAGAGAACCAGGGTAGCTTAAGCCACCTTGAATATAAAGTCAGTGATCATGTTTCTCCAGCCAAACATGAAGTACATGTTTGAATGGCAAAGCAGCTCTTATTTAATCACATCTCTTACTTCCTTCACTTTCAAATTAATTCCAAAGTCATTCTTTAAGACAAAAGGGATCTTGGCCTGTGCTACTGATCTCAACCCCTAATTGTCCATGTTTCCATATGCACAGGATGTCCACATGCAAAATTTATGCTTTCCTTCGCTTAAAACTTAGCTATGGCAAGTGTCAAAACCTAATGGTAATTCTGCTCCTCAGCACTGAAATACCATAACTCATCTTATTAAGCAACTATGACACAGTCAGAAACTGGCTAAAGGTATTCATGGTATCCTAAAATTTCTAAGGTTGTAAATTGCTTCATCGTTCATTTTCTTCTACCCAGGGGATGAGGGCAGGGAGTTTCCCATTGCAAATCAAAGTTCTTGTACTTCCGGCAGCCCAGGTCAGCTTGGCATCATTGCTTTCCCTGGCTCTTGTACAAAACGCAGAGAGCATCACCAACAAAAAAATGCTCCATAGCTGGGAGTGACCTTCAGTTGTCTGAATTGTAGATGCTCAGATAGACAGCCAAGGAAGAAAACCACAGCTGGGGTGGGGGGAGCTGGGGTTGGGAAGGGAAGGAAGAGAGTTTAAAGAGTTTATATTGAGTTGCCTTCAGACACTTGTTTTTTCCAGGGCAAGAGCATTAAAAAAGGCTAGCTTCCTGTGGTTTACTACCCTACAGTAAATAGCAATCATCTGCTGTTAGAAGTGAGAGCAAAGCACTTTACAAAGTAAGCTTTGCTGGTGTGTGTGTGTTTATTTAACTGCATACTATTCTGAAGCTGCTAAGAATAGTCTTGTGGCTAAGTGTCACCTTTAATCTTACTTTCCATTTCTAGCCCTTGTTGATTTTCCAGCCTACTGTCTTCCAGAGCTTCACTTTGGTTTTCAACCACTGCATTTTATTTACAGTACTGAGAAATCCTATACCTTTCTCTCTTAAAGGCTTGGAGTGCATTAAAAGGGGATTTGTACAGCCAGATTTGCAGGGAAAAGAATCATGCATACCATTTATTCAGATTAGAAATATTGATTCAATTTGTCAGTGTGATCTGCAGATTGTATATGTTCTATACGCTATCAGACAGTATTCTAACATATACAGTTGAGTTGCATTCTTGAGAGACACTGTAATTTGCTAAGCTTATTTCTCGTTCTAGACAGAAAATTGGAAGTTTTCTCTGCAACTTCCAACCCCAGATATGGAGAATACATTGCGCTAGTAAGGATAGTAGCGCCTTTTTTTGTTTCCATTATCCTTCTACAAACATCTTCTGTATGTGGAAAATGCAAACTGCAGTGTTTGCACAGTGATATACGATGGTGATCTGAAATATAATACTTTATATCTTGAAAAAAAACCCAAACAACTACAGGTGCAAGTGTCCCAGTGGGAATATGCTTGGGGTTTAAACAAAAAACCCCAAAACCATACAAGAGCCCAAAGGGGACATCCCATTTCCTCCAAAGTTGTAACGTGGGAGGAGTGAAAAGCTAGAAACAGACAACTAATTCAACATGAGCTCCCAGAGCAACAC